CCTATGAGTCTATGGGAGCCAGCTACATTCAAACGACCACAGCCCCTGAATACAGCCCTTCTCAACCTCAGCAGCACCCTGCAATCTCCTGAGGTGGTGGTGCTAACCATCTGGGTCCCAGCCCTAAGTGTCCTGCCCTCAGAAAGTCCAGTGAATCACATTAGGCTATGACTTGTGTCATCAGGACATTCTGGTGCTCCCCAGGTTATTCAGAGTCATAGACTCGGTTTCAAATGACTGTAATGGGTGTTACAAGGTCTACAGAAGGACTGGAGAGGTGGCTCAGCAGTTAAGCGCCGGTTCTTCCAGAGGACCCAGGTTTGTTTCCCAGCATCCACATGGTGGCTCACAACCGTCTGTAACTCCAGTTCCAGAGCACCTAATACCCCCTTGTGGACACCGATCACATGTGGTACACATACACACATGCTGACAAAACACATATATAAAATGGATAAATCTAATACATTTTTTCCTAAGGAAGGTTACAGGAGAAGGTGGATTTTAGGTGTAAGTTGATTCCTACGACAGAGACAGATGTCACCTTCTTCAGATCTGAATACTTAAATCCTGACATAACTAAGGTGAGGCTCTGTTCTGCGGAGCTGATTGATGTGAAAGAAAATGTCTCCGTGGAATTCCTTGTTCCACCTAAGCTCACGTCTTCATGGCATACTTTCATTGTTGCTTAGCTCAAAGTCTATCTAGAAACAAGCCATTTCTTACCTTCCATGATACAAGTAACCATAGATGAGGTTGTCTTGGATAAACAGAAGATATATTTTCTCCTCAACATTTATTTGAGAATTAGATTTTTCTGCAGGTCTAGCTTTCACGTTGATCTAAATTCTAGTTTTACATTAGGACAAGTGGACCAAGGATGAATTAAAGGAAGTTAATTTATGAGCTGTTACGATGTCCAAACTGTGCCAAGTGACAGGTGACCCTAAATATCACACAACGGTCTTCACAATTAGGGAATAGACTAATATATCTTCCCACATTTTTTTGATGTTACTAATAATGTGAAGGTTTTACTATCTACAGTGAAATAAGAAACAATTTAATGAGAATGTTACAGAATTCATAAAGAGGTAAAAATCAGAGTCAGTAGTTAAACCATTTAAATAAGTGGAGGAAGAAATGGTTAGACAATACCATTTGAGGGTTAGAGGGAAGCAGCTTTCTTTCTGAACAGATTTATGGAACAGTTTATACTGCAATCCAAAAAACATCTTTTAAAGATTTATTTATTTATTTATTATGTATACAGCATTCTTGGTATTCTGTCTGCATGTATGCCTGCAGCCCAGAAGAGGGCACCAGGTCTCATTACAGATGATTGTGAACCACCATGTGGTTGCTGGGAATTAAACTCAGGACCTTTGGAAGAGCAGGCAGTGTTCTTAACCACTGAGCCGTCTCTCTCTCCAGTCCCTCAAAAACATTTTTAACAAACTTTTATTCTACTAAATCAAAACTATATTACTAAAATAAATATTTATGGGGAAATATCTAAGCAAAAAAATTATAGAAATAGTAAGGAAGTTGAATATGTTCATGTTAATTTTTCTATACAAGAAACGTATTTACTCATGTTTAACTCTAGAAGTAATCCATAAACTGTGAGCCAGCCTAAGAAAATGCTCCACAGAAGGAGAAAGATATATGTTCTATGAGATAGGTTCTCACCTTGTAGGCTAGGCTGACTTTGAACTTGTGGTCCTTTTACCTCTGCTTCCTATGAGCTAGCTATTTTATTATTATAGATAAACAGTCTTATTTATCTATAGAAATGTTACAGATAAAGTATAGAATGTAAATTGAGACTGTGATTTCATTTCCCAGACCCAAATAATCACACAAAAACTATATTAATTGCAACATTATTTGGCCAATGGCTCAGGCATATTCATAGCTAGCTCTTAAATTAACCCATTTCTATTATTTTATATTTTGCCACAAGGCTCGTGGTTTGTTACCTCACATCTTGCTTCTTGGGCAGCTACATGTTGCCTGCCTGAATCCACCTTCTTTCTTCCTGTATTAAGTTTTGTTTTCCTGCCCAGCTATATTCTGCCTTGCCATTGGTCAAAGTAGCTTCTTTATTAACCAATGGTAATAAAACATATTCATAGCATACAGAGGGGAATCCCACATCATCAGAATGCTTCCACACTGTGATGACTATTCTTGGCTGTCAACTTAACTCTGGAAGTAACTAAAACTCAAATGGCTAGGTACACCTGTGA